TAGAGTGCCTCGCCTACTATATGAGGTGAATGAAAAAGCCTATGAACCAGAAATCATCTCAATTGGTCCTTATCATCGTGGCAAAAATCACTTGAACATGATGGAAGTGCACAAGGTTCGCTTCTTAAGAATGCTTCTTCGCCGAACAAATGAGCATACTGCCGACCCATATGAGCATACTGCCGAACCATATGTAGCAGCACTGAGAGGTATGGTCGAAAAAGCCCGTAACTGTTATTCAGAACCTTCAAGTATGAGCACAGAAGACTTCCTAGAAATGTTGGTGCTTGATGGATGCTTTATTGTTGAGTTTATTCACCAATTTTCGGATGGTAACAGGGATGAGTATGTCTTTGGCTTGCGGGTTAATTTCTACAGGATTTTTCATGATTTGATTCTATTTGAGAACCAACTTCCTTTCTTTGTGCTATGGGAGTTGTTTGGTATAATGTGGGGAATTGAGAGAAACTTTTATGTTACGGTTCTTCTGGAACTCTTCAGTGGCAGGATGCCGGGACTAGGAGTTGATTTTGACGATGACAATACTTCAATTGAAAATGTCAAGCATTTACTAGACTTGGTACGTGGGAAATGGCTTCCTTCAAGAGAAGTAATGGAGTATTGCTCGCGAGCACCAGAAGATGCCAATTGGTCATTTATACGTTCTACTACAGAGCTTAAAGAGGCAGGAATTCGGTTCAAGAAGGGTGAAGGAGATAACTTGTTTGACATAAAGTTTAGAAATGGGGTACTCGAGATTCCTATGATAAAAATTGTAGATTCCACAGAGAGGTTGTATCGCAATGTCATTGCCTGCGAACAATTTGAGAAAGAAAATCCCAAATACTTCACTGAATTTGCCAGGTTTATGGATTGCCTGATTAATTCAGGGAAAGATGTGGAGTTACTTTGTCACTGTGGAATAATTGAAAATTGGTTAGGCAGTGATGAGGCTGTCGCGGCCATGTTTAATAGGCTCACAGATAATGTCTGGGCCTCCATCAAATTCTATACCCAGATATATATTGATGTCAACGAGTATTACAATAAACCTCGTAACAAAAGGATGGCAAGCTTAAGGCACAACTATTTCAACACTCCATGGGCGTTCATCTCCTTTCTTGCTGCAGCTTTCTTGCTTCTACTTGCCCTGCTTCAAACTGTTTTTACCATTTTTCCTAGACATTAATTTTTGATGTGGAGTTAGTGATGGCAAATTTTGTCATTTGTTTAAAAGTTAAGATCAACTTCTACACAACTTTTATATGCATTACTCATACAAAATCTTGATTATTTCAACTTTTAATTATAAATTGTTGGGATTTTGTATAAATAATATATGTAAAAATTGTGTGTGAGTTAATTTTTACTCTTTATTTAATTTGTATTGTATTTTATCTAAAATGTCTAGCAAAGTTGTCAAAATTGAGAGTTAAGTAAAATTGTTTTGGTTAAGTAAAAATTGAAATCCTAAAATTGAATATATAAAACCAAGAATTTGCTAAATTAATTAAAATTTTGTATATTATTAAAATTTAACCTTACATTCAAATTTGAAATTTATCCAAGAATGTTAACTACTAATTAATTATTTCAATTTTTATTAAACATTTTTTCATTTCATAATTATTTTTTTTTCATTTTTATTAAAAACCTTTAATTTAATTTATTAAAAA